AAACGCTGCCACGCAGAAGAATACGGCACTGGCGGCGGAGCTCAAGACTATGGAAGTCAAGTGGAAGAAAGAGATAGAGAAGAAAGAAATTGCGGTGGCAGAGGCTGATTTAGCTGCCGGTGAGATCCAAAAGCTGCAAGCGGATCGGAATCAGCTCGTGCAACGCACAGAGAGCGATGCCAAACGTATCCGAGAGCTATGGCAGCAGATCACACGAGAGCACGAGGTAAAAGTCGAAGCTCTCATGCAAGAACTGCAAAATGCCAGACAAAAGTCGACTACGTTAGAAGCTGCAATCGCTATCAGTCATCGGGAAATCACAATGCTTAAGGAGCAGATACAGACGATGCGGGACGCAAAGGCAGTACAAAAAGAATGCCCCGCTGCTGTTAAGAGTGAACGATTGCAAACTGATGAGCAGCAAGATCTAGACCGGATGAAGATGAACACAATAGAAAATGAGAAGCACCGTACAATACTTAAATGGCGACAAGCATTGAGTGATTGTAAGCTTTACGCACAACGAGAAGTGACAGCTGTAAAGGAGCGGGACGCGGCGGTGCTAGCAGCGCGCAATATTCAGAAAGTATTGGAGGATCGCAATGAGGAAGTGCTGGCTCTTAAAACTGAGCTGACCATTCTTCTTGATAAACATGAACTCCTAGTTACACAATACAAACAATCAGCACGTGATCGGGAGGCCCAAATGGTGCTGCGAACGCAGAAGCTACGTGACAGTAAGCGCTACGCAAAAGAGTTATCTCAGCTTCGAAAAAAGGAGGTTTTGGGTTACAAACAGGTTATTTATGCGGTTAACGCACGGCTCAATGAGGTGCAAGAGCTCAGTAAAGCGACTCAAAGCAATGCCTGGTCGTTGCCACCGGATATAAGCAAGTCAAGAAAATCACTTTGTATTATTAGTCACTAATTGCTCGATCAAAATTGAATATGTTCGGAATAAAGACAACAAACAGATCTTGACTTTCTTCCAAAAAGCCAGCCCGCCAAAAAAAAATTTGTTGGTATAATCAAAGCCTGAAAAGGAAACACTATGCAATTCTGTAAATCAAACAATTTAGAAGTAGATAAAACTAAAAAGCACATTTTGAGTTTAGCGATTCCTTAGCCCAATAGGTTGGTCAGTGTCTTCGTCGACCGCTTTCTATGTGGATCGGACTGTACTCTGCTCGGAATTTGGTGTCTTTTCCAGTGATTGTGTTGAGGGCATGGCACCGGCGAAGCCCATTGCTGCTGGTGATGAGCAAAAAAGTTTATAAGCGAAACGATTACTTATGTGGTTGCATTCAATAAACTTTTATTTCGTATAGATTGCTTCCGTCCTGAAAATAATTTTTGCAGCGTTCGCAACACAATGTTAAGCATTCTCTGAAATATTCAACTGGAAAAAATGGGACTCAGTAGAGCTTGACATTAATTTGTCAGCCTTTATCTTCATGAAAACGAAAAAAGGTCGCATTTTGAGAGCTTCAGGTTGATGTAAGAGAACAAAGCTTATCATTTGACCAACAATAATGCTGATAAGAACGTGAAAGCTTGCTAAGTGACAAATGTTAACATCACTTTAAGGCTATTGGTTCAAAAACGCGGAGCAATCTTTTTGACTCAGTCTTCCCAAAGTGCGATTGTTTTGGTGGCCGCTGCATCACCCATTCATCTTAACAGATCTTTGACCACCTCTCCATCTGATACGAGCAATAAATATGGCTATTCGCTGCCAATTCGAGAACAGTAATGAGATCGGTGTTTTTTCTAAACTCACGAACTCATACTGCCTTGTATGTGTGGGCGGTAGTGAGAACTTCTACAGCACGTTTGAGTCCGAGCTTGCAGAACACATCCCGGTCGTCCATGCCAGTATTGCTGGATGTCGCTTCGTGGGCCGCGTGGCAGTAGGCAATAAACGTGGTCTACTTCTTCCAAGTACCACCACGGACCAGGAGATGCAACACATTCGTAATGCTCTTCCTGATGCGGTCGTAGTTCAGCGCGTGGAAGAGCGACTTTCAGCTCTAGGAAACTGCATCGCCACCAACGACCATGTGGCGCTCGTGCACACAGATTTGGACCGTGAAACTGAGGAGATCGTTGCGGATACATTAGGTGTTGAAGTCTTCCGCCAGACAGTGGCGGGTAATGCACTCGTTGGCAGCTACAGTGCCCTGTCCAATCAAGGTTGTCTTGTACATCCGCGTACCAGTGTAGAGGACCAGGAAGAGCTGAGTTCGCTTTTGCAAGTTCCAGTTGTGGCTGGTACCGTCAACCGCGGTAGTGACGTCATTGGCGCTGGTCTTGTAGTA